AGAGAGACAGATGAATATATACCAGCTCCTTTAGCTGCAGCTCCATGAATAAGAGTGAGTCCCACCATTAATGCATCAGGAGCAGCAGATGCTGCTGCTAATGTAGAGTACTCCAAATCCGAATAGGACGACACATATGTTGTTTCATTAACAAAAGCCTCATCAACAACCTCAATACTACTCGAGACTAAAATCGGAACAAGAAGAATAATCACCCAAAACCCGACGACGAACCTCCCTCTGCAGCTTCTCATTTTCAAACCTCTCCCACAACAAAATAAATAATAATAATCTTATGACAAAATTAAACAAGCTTCAATAGAGAGTTTATAATAAGGCACTCATATATATGAATGCGGACCCAACAGAACACATTTATAAGGCAAAAAGAGCGTTGTTTACATAGCAGCCAGATAGAGAAATAAATCTGTGCCAATATACCACAAAAATCCGGTGTAATAGAACACAGATTATGCCATAATTTAGTTGCGTTAGTGAAGTAGCGAAAGCGTAACCGAAGGATAAAATAAGTTAAAAGACTTTTAATCAAGTATCTTTATTAATCAAATTCAGTCGATTGAAAAGATATTTAAATTAATATAATTTGTAATTAAATAATTTTGATAACAAATTTAAGATTGAAATACTAACAATAAATAATTAATTTAATTAAAGATTCTAAAGATCAGGTTTTTACTATATTTAGGAAAAGAGTGATTATTTCTTTCCTATATATGCATGGGCGGACTTACATAGGAGCCCGTAAGGGCACGGGCCCCTATAGCACGTTTTTAGTAATATAGTATATATATTATTATATTGACATACAAAATACATGTTATTAATTATTATGTAAAGTTATTTCAACATAAAAGAATAAAAATGAAATGTTTAAAATTATTTAACTTTCAATAGTATGTTATTTTATAAGTTGTGGAATTTATGTTTATGTTATACTGAACTTCTTGTTTATTTTAGGCTCTCTTCCAAAATACTACATAAAAAACAAATATTATACGTAAAATACTACAAAAGAATTGGATCAAATGTGTCTATATTCTAAAAATAAGAATGTGAGATTCAATCTTAGCTATTACAAAAAAACAAGGTGTCTCGTCAATTAATTAATTAAATATTGATTTGACCATTGACATCCGACGTTGACTATTGATCGTAGTTTGTGCCTCCACTTGTCTTTAAAGTCTGCGTCCGCCCATATATGTCTCCAAATTATTTTGTTTTCTTCTTTTTAAAGAGACTAGTGTGTATCCCGTGCGATGCACGGATATATAAATTTAGAGAATATTATAATTTGACATGCATATGATATATGAGAGTTTAATACATACGGACATTATTCATCATAAAATTTTCGTCACGAAAAAAAATTATATTATTAAAAATTTCTTTGTACACAACATTATGAGTTTGATAATTGGATAACTGTTGTGAGGAGCACGGGCCGACTCGGGCCGGACGCGGGCTGCGGAAACTGGGCTTCACTCAACTGGGCTCCCTTGCTGGACTTCTCTCCTAGGCTGCGGATGTTGATTGTTGTCGTCGAAAAAATTGCCCCCACGCTTGGACCACTTTTCTAATTCCAAATGTATTATAAATTATATTTTATTCCTACTTTAACTCTTCATTCCTATTCTATGTAGATAGTTATTTTACATTCCCAGCTATACTAATAAAATATGTTTTTAGTTTGAATCATATAACTTCCTTAATATTGAGTTGAATAATTTATAGGTTGAAACATAATTTAATGATTCCCTCTAATTTCTCTCCCATCTCCCCTTTTTATATTCCATATTTTACAATTTTTTCCAAATAAAACAAAAAATTACATTCAACAGTTATTAGGTTGACCATCAAATAAATCAAAATAAGATTGTAAATAAACGTAAACTTTTTCTTAGTAATTTCTACTTTTTTTTTTTAAATATTAATTGCAATGTTTCAGGTTCGACACAAAATTGGTTTGTTTGTTTTTTATTAATTGTTTATAAATAGGCTATCTATCTTAGTTTTTGTTCAAAGCTATCTTGATATGTGCTTTGATTTATAATATTATCTATCTTTTCGAAAAAAAAAAATCTTTGATATGTGTTCTAGAGATATAAAAGATGACTTTTTCTGCAGTAACTAACCACCAAACTTAAATAATTTTTTGTTACAGCTACTAACATTTTTTTGTTTGTTCGATTCTCTATTGAAATTTGTGAGCTGATATTAAATAACAATTTTTAGTTAATAACTTGACTACTTCTCAACATTAAGATCCACTACTTTTAAAAATAATGAGTGACAATAATGATGATTTTTGTAAAATGAGCAACTCAATATATATGTTAATCGGCTTTGAAATAAAAAAAATATATATTAAATTTAATCAATAAATAAGCATTTATAGAATTAGTTCATTAATTTATATGTACTGTAATAATAAATAATAATAAATATATGTTACTATAAATGGCATGTAATAAATGCTAATAAGAGTTTGACTAAGATTTAACTTACTATTTTAAAAAAATAGTAAATCTTTTTATATATATATATATAGATGGTTATATTAGTATATTTTTTTAGATTTTGGAGATATAACCAAGAAAAACATTTATGGAAAAGATAATTAATTAATATATTTCATAATTAAATAATTTTGCTAACAAATTTACGACTGAATTAACTAACAACAAATAAAATGGATAAATAATTAATTTAATTAAAGATTATAAAGATCATGCTTTTATCATAAAGGAAAAGAGTGATTATATATGTTTCCTATATATGTTGCCATATTAATTTTGTTTTCTTCTTTTTAAAGAGATGGTTATAGTAGTAAATTTTTTAATGATTTTGGAGATATAATATAACCAAGACAAAGATTTATGGTGTGAACATTTTTTACGTCGCAAGTATTTTAGCCGGCCATTCTGCATGTGTGGATGCCAATTAATTAACAAATTAACCGGAACACCCCGAAAACTTCTATTATATATGTTTTTTTTTTTTTTTTTTT